AAGCGCTTCCCTTTCCTCATCCTCTCCCCTCAAATACCCTCATCCCCTCCCCTGCTCCCTCCCAGCACCCCCCTGCTCCGCTCTCCCTGCGCTCCGCAGGACCCCGCACATCTCCAGGCGGGATTTTCAGCCTTTTGTCAGGAAAACGCCGCCTGTTTTCCCTCCTTATCTCGATGCTCTGCTACCACCTAGCGCTGACAGGGCGCGGGGCCCTCGGGCTGGTGTGGGGGTCTCTCAGGGGGGTTCCCAGGATATCCGTGGGCTGTGCCAAGTGGGAAGAAGGCTGATAGCAAGATCCCGGGGAAAGCTGGGTTTTGGTGGGGAAAATAGGGTGATCCCACTACTGGGAATTTGAAACAGATGGATTTTTACCTTCTCCTCTTTTAGTCATCAGCCAGAAGAGCAGCCATAGGGATGTGTCCAGTGCTGTGTCCAGCTGTGGGTGGCTCCTCGGGACAGGAGGGACTTTGAGCTCCTGGAGCAGCTCTAGTGGAGGGAAACAAAGATGCTGAAGGGACTGGAGAATCTCCATGAGCAGGAAAGGCTGAGGGAGCCGGGGCTGTTCAGCCTTGAGAAGAGACACTGAGAGGGGACCCTGTAGGGTCTGCAGGGAGGGGGCAGAGGATGGACCAGGCTCTGCTGGGGGGGGCCAGCAATGGGACAAGAGGAACGGGCAGGAACTGATGCCCAGGAAGTTCCACCTGAACACGAGGAAGAACTTCTTTGCTGTGCAGTGACCGAGCACTGAACAGAGACCAGAGAGGGTGTGGAGTCTCCTCACTGGGGATATTCCAGACCTGTCTGGACACAATCCTGTGCTGTGTGCTCTGGGATGACCCTGTTTGAGCAAAGAGTGGGGACCAGATGACCCCCTCTGGTCCCTTCCAACCTGAACCGTTGTGTCATTCTGTGATACTGAGATTCTGTGGTTCTGTCATTCTGTGATTTCCTAATTCTGTGTCTGTGATCTTTGGATTCTGCAACTGTGATTCCATAAGTATGAGCCTGTGATTCTGTGATTCTGTGATTGAGTCTGTAATGCTGTGATCCCATGATTCTGTGAGTCCATGAGTCTGTGATTCCATGAGTCCGTGAATTGCTGACTCTCTGAGATTCTGCCATTCTGTGATGTTGCAATTCCACGATTCTGTAATTTTGTGACTGTGACTTTGTGACCCTGCGTTTCTGTGACTCTGGGATTCTGTGAGTCTGGGATTCTGTAATTCTGGGATTCTGTAATTCCAAGATTCTGTAATTCCAAGATTCTGTGACTCTGATGCTGTGACTCTGATGCTGTGATTCTGTGAGTCCGCGATTCTATGACTCTCTGATTCCATGAGTCTGTCATTCTGTCATGTTGTGATTCCATGTTTCTGTAATTTTGTGACTGTAGTTTTGTGACTCTGTGACTCTGTGACTGATTTCATGACTCTGTGACTCTGAGATTCGTGAGTCTGTGATTCTGTGAGTCTATGATTCTGTAATTGTGGTATCCCGGGATTCTGTAATTCCGTGACTCTCAGATTCTGTAATTCTGTGATTCCGTTATTTTGTGAGTCTGTGATTCTGAGAGTCCATGACTCTGTGATTTGTGTGTCTGTCATTCTGTGATTGTGTGATTCTGCAATTCCATTATTCTGTGATTCCATGATTCTGTCATTCTGAGGGTACGTGCTTCTGCGACTTTTTTATTCTGTGATTTTGTTATTCTGTGACTGTGATTCCGGGATTCTATGACTCTGTGATTCCAAGTCTGTGACTGATTCTCTGGTTCTGTGATTCTGAGCCTATGATTCTGTAATTCTGTGACTCTGTGATTCCCTGATTCCGTGACTTGACCGTCGGTGCCGCAGCCCCAACAAACACCGTCAAACCCTGACCATTTCACCAGGGGGACACTGAACACGGGGCACAGCGATGAGGGGCGGCCAGGGGGCACCCCGGGGACCCCCAACCACCCCTGTGTCCCCACCGGGACCAGTGGCCCCTCACGGCCCTCCCATTCCCCTCACGGCTTCTTCCCCCCCGCTCGTTGCCCCCCATTTCCCCCTCACGGCCCCTCCATTCCCCTCACGGCCCCCCCCCATTCTCCTCATGGCCCCCCATTCCCCTCACAGCCCCCTCATTTCCCCCTCACGGCCCCCCATTCCCCTCAGGGCTCCCCCCATTCCCCTCACGGACCCCCATTCCCCTCGCGCTCCCCATTCCCCTCAGGGCTTCCCCCATTCCCCTCGCACCCCCCCATTCCCCTCACTGCCATCCCCCCCCCGATCCCCTCAGGGGTTCCCCCCATTCCCTTCACGCCCCCCAATCCCCTCACGGCTCCCCCCCATTCCCCTCAGGGCTCCCCCCCATTCCCCTCAC